TACACAGAAACAACTCTGAACAAGAGTGAAGAGTCAAGTTGTGAATAATGATCCAGTCCAATCCAATTTTATTTATAAAGCACTTTAAAATACCCAGCACAGGAACAAAGTGCTGTACAGAAAGTTAAAACAATAGAATAACAGAAAACAGCAAAAATAAATAAATAAAACACATAATACATAAAATTAAAACAGCCCTATATTAAAACAAAAACAAGATAAAACAGCATCGAATCACCTAAAAACAACTGAAATAAAAACAAAAACCAACATCTTACGTGTTGTCAAAGGCCAGGATAAAGAGGTGGGTTTTCAAGAGTGACTTAAAAACAGATAACGAACTGGCCTGATCTCCTCTAAGTTTACGCCCAGTCCTGGGTACATTCAGGAGCAGCTGATCAGCTGAGAGAGCGGGTGGGTGTGTCAGGCTGTAGCAGCTCAGAGAGATAAGATGGGGCTAGGCCATGGAGAGCTTTAAAAGCATTTTAAGAAGAATTTTAAAATGAATCCTAAAAGAAATGGGCAGCCAGTGAAGTGAAGCTAAAACAAGGGAAATGTGCTCAAACTTTCGAGTGCCAGTTAAAAGATGAGCTGCGGCATTTTGCAACCTCTGTAGATGACTAATATATGATGTGCTTACCCCAATATAGAGTGCATTACAGTAATCCAGCCGAGTGCTAACAAAGGCGTGGATCACTGTCTCAAAGTGCCGTGAAAGAATTGGCTTTATTTTTCCCAGCTGCCTGAGGTGAAAGAAGCTAGATTTTACCACTGCTTGATTATTAAACTTCAGATCACAGTCCACTTTGACCCCCAGATTTGTGACAGTTGGCTTAACATACTGGGCCAGGGAATCTACATACATATTGGGGGTCTCAGTGGAGCTACCAAAAACCATCACTTCTGTCTTTTTATCATTGAATTTTAAAAAGTTAACAGACATCTAAGCCTTAATGTCATCGAGACCCTGAAGTAATGGCTGTGTAAGGTATCTGCCTTTTTTCTTTAGAGGGACATAGATCTGACAGTTATCAGCATAAAAGTGGAAAGCAATGCTGTGCTTTCTCAGTACAGAACCAAGAGGAAGCAGATATAAAGAGAAGAGGAGGGGGGCTAGAACTGAGCCCTGTGGGACACCACACAAAAGGGGAGCGGAGGACGACGCATAGTCACCGAGACTGACACAAAAAGTTCGCCCCGCCAAGTAGGACCTGAACCACTCCAGTGCTGTTCCCCTAATGCCCACCCAGTCCTCCAAACGAGAGAATAAAATGGCACAATCCACAGTATCAAGCACAAGAACAACACAGTCCCCAACATCAGTCGCTAAAAATATGTCATTAAAAACTTTTAAAAGGGCTGATTCAGTGCTATGAAATGGTTTAAAACCAGATTGGAAAACCTCTAACACATTTGTGTTAGATGATCTTCTAACCAGATGAAAGAAAAAGTAAATTAGTCAATGAAACACATGGTTTCTAAGACTTCTCTTTATTCTTGGATCTGTATGATGTCAGAGGGCAGATATCCTTAATTTGGTCATGTTACTTTCTATTCAAACCTACTATTTCTAAAGTGCAGCCAGTCAAAAGAAAGCCAGCTTAAAGGGAAAAATGGATTATGAGGGAGAGAAGCTGAAACAGTTTGTTTCAGACAGCTTGATAAACTGAGGGGGCTGCACCAAAGCCCAGTATAAGATTAAAAAAAGGGGGGAACAGTGTGTGCATACAAAAATGTATGTCTATAGAACGACAGATATAGTTAAGAATGGTTGGCTGACCAAGGCAATATACTCTGATGTGTTTGCATGTCCCAAGGGATCCATGCCGTGTGATTGTTCACACGGGATGGGGTGTGCCCAAGCACCTATCTCAGGAACATCTCCAACACTGAGGGAGATTTAGCCTGTCTGACCCCTCTGTCTGACCTCTGAATGGTCTTCCACCGGGCCCCACAAACCTCCTGTCTGCTGGCGTCTGGATATAAGCCCCTGAGCAAGATTCTTTCAGGTCTGGTTTATAAAAAAGCCGTGGGAGATAGTTATGTCACATGTACACAAACCTCTGTAAGATTGCAATATTAGCCAAACAATACAGTAAAGCTATCCGAATAGTCCAAGCTAAATCCAAATGGGTGTAGTCTAAGACAGATGTAAAACACGGCTCCGCACGTCATGACCTGTAAGCTCACAATAACTCTGGGCGTGCCACATAACTGATGTTCTACCTATGAAACAAAAAGACAAAATAAACATGGTAAACATGTCCAGCTTAGCATCTGCATGTTAGCACTGTCTACAAGCTAACATTAGCATGTAGCTCAAAGCTTGGTGGTGGATTACTAAAGTCTTGCTATCATGCCTTAGACCTTTTCTTTTTTTTGGACTGCACCCTACTCATTTACCAAATTTTCTTTTTTTTCTCAGGGGGGGCAGCTTTTCAAATCAAGCAAAAATACATTTTGTGAGGCAAGACAAGGAAATCATGTTAGTGGTAGCAGGAGCAGTTTTATTAACCCTCATGGCAGTGATTTTCATCCAGTCTACTACTGCAGCTAATAGCTCAGGCCAAGAGGCATTATCGGCTACAGTAAGGGGATTAGGCCGCCATGTTGGTTCACACACACTGAGGGGGGAGAAGGGGTAAGGAAAAGCACGAAGGGGTGGGTGAATTGCTGGTGGATCTGGAGATTGGGATTGTAGAGATTAAGAGATTTTCTTTTTCATTCATGTTTTTACATTTTACGTGCTCACACCACACAGTGAACTGCCAGCGAAAACAAGCATGGAGTGACCTCCAGCTGTGTTTTAATTTAGAGCACAATCTTTTTAATAGTGCTGACTACTGAATTTATATTAAACTGACTCTACATTTGCCATCACGAATTTACAGCCCCCCCCTTTTCAATTTTGTAGGATTAAGATAGCGTTGCTCTTTATGAGAAATGTATCTCTGTGGATATACTGAAGGGTTATGAAAGAAGCAGTCAAGGATACAAAAATATTCAATTTATTAGCGTTCAGGAGGAGAGGAGCTGACGAGCCTCTACCATACCTTACCCATAGACTGTGCATTAAAGACGGCGCTAGCTTCTGGGTCTAAAAAATTATGCCAGTGTTGAAGCCCCTTGAAACTTGGTTTCAAAAAGAGGTCAATTTGTATAGACGTTTTATTAGAACGTTAACATCTTGACCTGTAACCTTAGCCCTTCCCCGATGAAATTATGCCTTAATCATCAGTTTCAGTTGTCAGTGATTAGAACATGATGCTTATTTTGTATATAATGGCCCCCATTAGGGTCAGAAAGAGTAATAAGGCAGGCCCATCCCACAGATAATGATTTGGGATGGGCCTACTTTGTGACTCACCTAATGTGTTAGTCTCAATCCGATTAACCTCTCACTGGTCACATTAGGTTTCAGAACACGAGTTACAATGAGACTTCACTAATCAGTGAGAGATGTCACCATGGCTATGTCCATCTTTTATTGCCTATGTGTTTACCAGATGCAATCCAGTCAAAGAGAACAAAACAGATTTCCAGGCTAATGTAATCAACACACCTAGCAGCCTTAGTCTTTCTGACTGTATTGAACATCTTCCTTGCCACTAGCATTTTCCCATGAGTAGATGGCATCATTATCACTGTGGAAGCACTGCTACTATTGCCCTGGGGTTAGGCAGGTCTCCAAGCAAAGGTCTTCTTTTTACTTTGTTCGTGCATTGCTAATTACATTGATTAAATCTACTGGGCTTGCACTGTCGTCAGTGTTTTTGTCTGCGAAGTATTTGAACAGTCTGTTTTTCAAGGCCGTGTGAAGGACACATACCTAGCCAAACAAGGCAGCAATCCACCCCTTGAGAAGGGAACAATAAACAAGGTGGTCACACCTCCAACTTCCTTTCATATCTAGTGTAAACTTACTTACAGGTCTGAGTGACCTCTGCTCTGGTGCAGAGCAGTTAGAGCCAGCATGTAAACAGGACTATTAATATACACATCTTGCTTACATAATGCACTTATATATAGATAGAGAGCTTTCATACAGCACACATACATACATGTATGTCCAACAGCTGTACATTTTGCATTGTGTTGTCTAGTTTTATGTTCCCATGTTTTCTGAGTAAACTATGTGGCAACAACCTCGACAAAACTGTGATTAGATAATCACTTACTATAATATTGTGCAGAACTATTTTCCTCTGACGCAGTTAACCCTGATCTTCAGATTGATATGTGTGTGTGTGTGTGTGTGTGTGTGTGTGTGTGTGTGTGTGTGTGTGTGTGTGTGTGTGTGTGTGTGTGTGTGTGTGTGTATGTATAAGAACTGAATAGCTGAATCCTTTGATTTTGGGACAAGGTTAACAAGTTTTTTAGGCCTGTGTGAGATTTAGTGCCTTTCTATATGCAGTCTATATGCAGACATTTAAAATTAAAGTTCACCAATGATGCTAAATAACAACCCAAATAAATGTGTAGTGGTGAGATTTTCTTCTAGAAGTACAATGCATTTGCCATTCTTTATTCTTATGTGAGATTATAAACATATTTTTACCATTACACTAATATAAAAACACTCCACTTAAAATACTCCACATGGTCAGTGGAGGCGGTCTTGGGTTTCCAGAGTGTATGCTGCACATAGCGAGTGCAGAGAGCAGATATATGTGTAATAATGAAAAGAAGATGGAGAAAGCGGGATTAGAAAACAGATCAGTCACACAGCTGTTTATTCTTTAGGCCCATGTCATTATCTACACAAAAGAGCTAGTGAACAAGCATGGAGTAGGAGGTAGAAAACGAGACACGGAGAGAGGGTGGGCTGGTGAAAGAGAAAATTCTGAACGCTGTGCCATACAGTATCATATGACTTCTAAAGCAAGACTGTGCAAAGGAGCTGGGAAAGGGAGGCGTTACAAGAAGGGAGTGTTGATCTCAGCAAATCAGACCTCTCACTTGTTCAGTCTGGTTTGTACTGCCCAGACCTGGATGTTCCCTGCAACTGTCCTGTGGGAAGATTGGATTCTGCCTATGTTTTTAGTCTACAGGTTGGCTGCCCTTCTAGGACCTCGTATCTCATCCAGTTCTCTAACTTGAACCCCACTGTGACATTCTGACCAATGGTTAGAGAGACTCTGTCCCCTAAATGGAGTGCTGCAGAGGAAAATAATCTATTTATACTTGTTCTTTTTAAAAATATAAGACACAACAGACCTATTAAAGCCCTGATTTTTTAAAAATGTACATAAGAAAGAAATTTGCTTATAATGGTTACATTTTAATAAGCTGTACAAGGTCAGAAATATTCTATGACATCAACCTCCAGTCAGGACATTCTAACTGGCTGATCTAAATGACTTTGTATAACCTTATGTGTCTCTAAATGAATTAACTTGACTTATTCATTTACAGACTTAGCCTTGTTTATGTATAAGAAGAATGTTCCTTCAGAGCTTTCCTGCTCATGATGTCCGGCACAGGAAAAATGATACGGGAGCTCGACTTGATCTGCTGTTTTCTGTGCCTTATTCTGATATGTGTGAGGTCTGATCCCTGGGGGTGACCTTCAGTGCTGCCATCTGTAAGGGTAAGCATTGTGTAAATAGTCTTAATGTGTCTTCATTTCTCTTTTTTCCTGTTTGAAAACATCAGAATTGTCTCTAATGAGTTCTCAGAATGATTAAAGAGTGAAAAGACTACAAGCTGTCTTTGTTGCAGTAGAGAGTGGTTCTCAAACTTTTCACAGTGAGTACCACCTCATAAAATATATGGCTCATGAAGTACCACCCTTATGTGGTATAGTAGTATTTCTTATTTGAATGTTATTTATTTTAACTGTCATAAACAGGATGTAACGAGTGATAATAATAACAACTGTACTGGCATCCAGGCGACAGTTCCCGACTCACCGACGGCATCTCCCACACCTCCACCGATTCTCCCGGGGGCCTTCGACTCATCGATGGTGGCTGGGATCAGGGCACGGCGGCACCACGGAAAAGGGCTGTGTTTTTACCATCAGTGTGACAGTGCCGTGCCACCTTTGCAGTTTTAAGGCCCAGGGAAATGAGCCCGCCAGTGCTCTGTAGCGGCGATAAGGAAAGGCTGCTCTTCATAGAGGACTCACGCTCAGGGAGCCGTTTTCTGGTTGACTTCGGTTCCCAGAAGAGCCTCGGGAACTCTCGTGTCATCTTTGCATGCTTCCATGATAGTATATAGTATAGTAGTATATTATTTAATCTTAAAAAAAATTTGAGATTTCCTGCGTACCACCAGAGAGAGCCCAAGTACTACTAGTGGTACGCGTACCACAGTTTGAGAACCACTGCAGTAGAGGAGCACTGCTGCAGTGGCAAAAACAGCTGAACTGTTCTCTGTGCGATATTGATTGATCTCAGCTCAATGTGGGTCATTTATTTAAATACTCATGGTGAAACAAACTTAAATGGGCACATTTAAGTTTGTTTTGTCAGGTGAATAAGGTGTCTTATTCACCTGACAAAAAATTTGTCAGGTGAATACTATGTACGCACATGACCTATGTAGTATAATTTGTTCTTGAACATTGGCTAAAAGGAATGTTTGTGACTGTGGGTGTGAACAAACAGCTGTGACCTTCCTCAGGTAACTCAGTGCACCTAAAGCCAACTGACAGACGCAGGGAGAGAGACAGGGCATGCAGATAGATTAGATTACCAATCTGTGAAGAGAGACAGTGCCAGAAAGCGTGCTACTGTATTCTTATCAGACGATAAAAAAGCACGCAAGTTTGAAGAAGCACAGGTTGTCCAAAGGTATTTATGTAAGCAATGGTTAACAAGAACTTGCACTAGCACAGTGTTGAAATCTCCTTGTTGGCTGCCACAATCTACAGTTTTAAAAATACATCATCAATTAACTCAGCAAAACCTGTCAGACTCAGCTAAAATACCTCACTTGCTAACAGCAATTCAAAGTCTGCTTATTCTTCAAAACAAGTCTTAGTTTATCCTGAGACTAAGGCAGGCAAAAGGGGAAAAGAGCCCAGGGAAGAGGAGTACGTGGTTAAACACTTAAAGCTAAAACACATGGAGTAAGACAACAGCTTTCCAACACATGGTGCATTTAAGTACAGCCCATGTGTGGATGCACACACTGTGTGGGTAATTAACTCAGAATGTAGCTTTATCTTATATAGAGGAACAACAAAATACAAGCACGGCTATGTAATGAAATTCAGATGTGATGAAAGAGCACCTTGGCCATTCAGCTTTGTAAAAAAAGGAAAGGTTAAAGCGAAAATCTGGTGCAGCGTATTTATTTTACAGGTGACAGAAAGTCAGACATAGTTTACTCGCTGAGGACAAACTTGATCTCTGAAACTACTAATGTTAAAAGAAAGTGATTGGACTTCTACTGTTAGAAATATTTGTTGTCCCTTTAACATCAAAGATAAGCAACTTTTCATCAATGCATCTGTGAGGACCAAAGAACTTTTAAATCATAAAAATTCCTCAGAAATTCTCGTTGGTCTGTTCTCACATTCATTTTGCAGCAGCGACAACAAATGTCTGCAGTGACCAGCTGTCCACAGAACCCCGATCACGGTGAAAGTAGAAAAGCAGCAGATTTTAATCAAACACCTTTAAATCAAAAATTCTTTATTGATAAACCAGTTAATGTTAAAATGTTAAATTATTTAACAGCACAATATTTCCAAAATTACATCAAGATAATATTTTTATGAAAGATTATTTTTGTCCCTCAGGAAATGTCATAGACTAACTGTCGGTCTAGAGCGTGACACCACAAAAGGCTAAAAAAGGAAAAAGACGAGTTCTTTATTTGATGTTAAAGAGCTGATGAGCTCTTTGAGTTCTCTTTTCATTCGTAATGACTAACTGGGTCCCTTTGTCTATGTATTGTCCTGCTACCTTTTCTTTTCTTTTTCCTTTCCCCTCACCCCCCTACTGTTCACAGCAGATGGCTGCCCCCCTTGAGCCTGGTTCTGCCGTAGGCTTCTTCCTGTAAAAGCAAGCACTTTCCCACTGTTGCGAAGTGCTTGCTCACAGGGGTCGCTTGATTGCTGAGGTTTTCTCCAAAATATAATATGGTCTTTACCTACAGTATAAAGTCGAGGCACTTTAATGACTGTCATTGTGATTTGGCAATATCGAAATAAATCCTCTCTTATGCTGAATCCATTCAACCATTCATTCATTTTCTTCAACTTATCCAACCATCCAAAGCCGAGAGGTAGGATACACCCTGAACCGTTCACCGATCTACCGCAAGGCTTTTGTCCCGAATGCTTTTCAAGTATATCATTTAGGATTAAATGTTAAGCAGTACACTCTTGTTGAATAATTGAAAGTATTTCACATTCAAATGGAAGTTCATTTGTCATACATGGAGGATGGCTCTAGGCACGGCATGTGAGTCTGACTGCGCAGCGCAAATCTGTAAATAAGTTCGGGAGGCCCCTTCTGATCACAGAAGGCTTTAAGAGATCAGATAGGCTTTAGGGGGCCCTCTCATCACTTGTGGGCTGCAGGGACAGTAGTGACAGCGAATCTACACATGGCACATGCATAAAGAGCTTTTTTGTAATGAAGTTTGCTTTGCAGTACTGTGAGGCTGGGCTTTGTGAAAGCAGTGCTTTGAGCCAAAATCTAATGTAGAACATGCACGCTGTTGAAAGTGTACAATCCTGAGAGTGACGGTCGAGATAATGTTTCACTAAAAACCACAACTTCAGTTTACTTTGACATTTGCGTATAAAATGCACACTTCACTTTTTTTTCTCACATAATACTAAATGTAGAACTGTTCAGGAGTCAGGATCAAAGTGCCATTTCAAGAGTGTTTTGTATCGCTGAGCACACACAGTGTATGATTGAACAGCACACCTCACTTATCACAAAGCAAGAAGCGTAAATGTTTGCTTCATAAACATTATGTTCTAGCAAACAGAGTTCGAGAATAATGGCCTAATGGCATGGCTTTCCCCATCTCACTCTCTTCTTGGTTCCTTTTTTCAAGTTTACCATAGTTTGCATGAGTATTATTCCTCAGCCTCTTTGAATATTCAGTCATGAAATTTCCCCTCAAGGGGTCTTAGTGGGGAAAAAAAGATATTATTTCCAGACTTTTCCTCTGTCCAACATTCCTTCCAGATAAACATCCTGGAATATATTTTCATCATGACTCTGCACCTTATCATAACTCAGTACCGCAGTACAGCACCATGAGTCAGCACTTTGTCGATTATTTAGTTTGTGGACGACTACTCTTAATTTTGTATTTTTTTATTTATCTTGTTTGAAAAACAGCGTGGAATAAGTGGAAGTGTTTTCATACTTCACCCTGATCCTGCGCGATGACCGCAGCAGACCAGGATAAAAGATAGGGCATTGCTGCACTGGCACATTCAGGTGGAGGGGTATCAAGTTTCCTTTCAGCCTTTCTCATTTCTTTTCTCCCAGTCTCTCACTTGCTCTTCTCACGATACTTGAGACAGCAACGTTTTGTTGTTCACGTCCCCATTTCATAGGTCACATGAATTGCCCCTGTTTGTGCGCCGTGTCCTTATTCATGCTTGATTATCAAGCATCAAACTGTAGAAAAAGAGGGAACTAAACCTCCGGCCAGATGCCACGTGATGATAAATGCTAATGTTTACAGCTGAGGTGGTGCTGAATTTGCCATGTTCTCTGCCTTGGTTTAACGTGTCAGTGTTAAAGACATTTAGATTCAGCTGAGGTTTTCTGGACATATCATAACATATTTCTTCCAATTTCTTTTAAAAAATGAATAAAACCTCATCTCCAAATTAAGTCAGTTACAACTACAAAAACATAAGGGCAAAGTAAACACTCTTGGGCTCAGTGAATATAAAAAAAACCCCACTTAGTGCAATTTTAAAATGCCAAAGGAAGCCTTATCCTTATCACAAGGCTGACCGAGATCCATAAAAAAACCCTCTCCAACAAATATTTACTAACTTAAGTGCTGCCTAATAAAAGTCTTATATAAGACTTATAACAACAAGCCAAGGACACCGGTGTTATTGAACCTGTTCGAAGAACAGTACAACTTTACTGACACACAGATGTACGACAAAATGCTACATCCACCCACCAAATTTCGGTCTTCTTTGAAGACTTTCTCTACTTTCTTTATGCGGTCAGAGCGTAGTGAGTCAGTTAAAAACTCCAACCTTCACATTTAACTAAAGTTGAACTAATAACTCTCACCCATACATGTGTTATCATAGCATTGCTGTTGTTTTTGCTCTGAAATATGTGCATTTAGAAGTCAGACACTTCAGTTTTAATATATTAAATAACAGCAGAAACTCATCTTCACAGCGTGTGCATTGTGTGTTATTATAGATGGGGCCTTCTCAGCTCTTGTGCGCTAGCTGGCTTAGCCATTGAAGTTGTCCTTTCTCACAGGGTAATGCACTTTTCACAGAATCACGGTGATTCCTTCAATCATTCACACAGTCAGGGCGAACAAAGCCTAAGCTTTAGATAACAAACTTGGCTTGTAGAGCACAGCTTCCTGCCAGTCTGAGATCTGGTCCTGTGGGCATTATTTGGTGTTGAGGTGTTTTTCCCACAAATTTCAGCCAGTGGGAGTCTTTAAAAAAAGCACCTGAATTGTAGTTTGACTGTAAGCTATCCTCAGTATGTCCTGAACACTTACACATAAATTATAAACAATCGGACTGTAGGCCTCTGTGGCCCAGACAATGAGTGTGTCTCTTATTACATCTTTGTGCACACCTAGCCAATGATTGGAAGTCAGGATACTAACATTTCATGGATGTTTTAAGCCTTTATTTTCATCTGAAAGTTGCTTTCTTATTCAACGCTGTATTACTCACTTTCATTCTTAACTACTGTCAACACATTTCCAAGAAAAACACACGGCCCGTTGCTTCACAGTCATTCACTCATCACTACAACTGGGTGAGAAACAGTTAGCAAAGAACATACTGCTCCTCAGTGGCCATTCTTTGCCATCCAGACATGCCAGATGTCAGATTAATGTTATTACTGCACTTGTCGTTCCACGTGCGTTACCCTTTCATGATCTAAGAGGTTTCTTCTTCGTTGATTTGTGACTTGGGGAGAAAGCAAATAAACCCGCAGAGGAGGGAGGGCACATCAAAGCCCCAGTGGCTTCCTCCACAGCTGTAGAGACGAACCCTGGTGGCTTCCTCCACAGCTGTAGAGACGAACCCTGTACCTCTCCTCCGCTAATGTGCCCTAGTTCAACTGCTGTTCTAATGAAAAGAGGTAATCTGGGAAGGGATTAAAGCTGACAGATATTCCAGTGGATCTGCATCATTTTTAAATGTGCCACACCCTTATTTAAGAGCCCCAATACAAAGTAAATGTAAATAGTTGTATTCACTGAAAGTTGGAGACTTAAAACTGTATCATCACACGTGGTTGCCAATTTCAGCCCTCAATGGAAGTGTTGTGATGTCACTGCATGATGCAATATATGTTGCTTGTTTCAATCTAGTGAACACCACACATCATAAAAGCATCTCATTATATAATATGAAAGTGCTGTTAATATCTACAGACTTTCTCTGTGCTGTAACTGATGTTAAATTAACCAACTTTCCCTTTTTTAAAAGGTAAAAGGTCTAAAACGTCTCCTTACAGAAACACTTGTTTTTTTCCCAATCATCCAGCCAGAGGCTCATTCATGAGGCCCTTACCATATTCTTTCTTTCTTTTATTAATGTCATGGAACATGTCCCTGTTAAAACATGCCAAAATCTACGTCAATATAAAAAAGCAAGAACATTTTCTTTGTTGATGTGTGACTTGATGAATGCAGTAGCAGGCTCCACACCCTGTACCTCTCGTCAACTCATGTGATCTAGTTGTTTAACTGATGAAAGGTAGTAATCTAGGAAGAGATTAGAGCTGGCAAATATTGCTGTAGCACTGCATCATTTTGAGTGTACCACACCTTTAATTAAGAAACCCATTATAAAGTTAATTTCGACCTTTTTTTATTTATTTGATAAAAGTTGGACACTTTTCAAAGACTTTTCAACGTCTTTTGCACGTGGTTGTAACTTTCAGTTCAGGTGGTTAGGGGAAATTTTTATGCTGTCTTGCTTTTAACAATGCGTGACGCAACGATCGCCTCTTGTTTCAGGGTAGTGAAGATATCAAGCATAAAAGGCGTTGCTGTTACATCAGCGACATTTTTTTTAATACGTTTCCGTCCAAAAACGCTGTTTTTTTTATAATAAATGTTGCAGCCTTGGTTAGACACGCCCAGATTACTAAGAGGTGGGCGTGGAATGCTTCCCGGTAGATAAGAACCCACGCGGTCCTCAAGCGACATTCACTAATCGCAGGAGGAAATTTGTATGCAGTTGCCTTAATTTTAGAAAGGTTTCCTGCCACGTTGCTGCTAGTTTTCAGACACGTTTTCCTTCGTTAAGTTTTAGGGGAAGTTTAAACGCGCGTCATGGCCTCGACGGTAGACATGATAGAGAGCAGCAAGGAATCCAACGGTGAGGCTCACCTCGACGAGCCCATGCCCAACGGGCTGGACAGCCCCAAGAAGAGCACCCCGGAGACGTTGTCTCAGCGCGTGCTGAGGATCGTCAAGGCCAACCTGCTGGTGATTCTCACCGTGGCCGGGGTTATCGTTGGTGTTTTTATTGGACTTGGTGTGCGTAATGTAACACTAACGAGAACCCAGGTGATTTACATCGGCTTCCCAGGTGAGATTCTCATCCGGTTGCTGAAGATGATCATCATTCCTCTGGTGGTCTGCAGCCTGGTGTCCGGAGCGGCCAGCATCGACCCCAAAGCCCTGGGCAAACTCGGCGGCTTGGCTATGCTCTTTTTCCTGATCACCACCTTGATTGCGTCCTCGATTGGGGTCGTGATGGCTTTCATCATATCGCCGGGGTCTGTGTCCGTCAGCAAGCCGGCCTACTTGGAAGAAGACGTGCCTGCGCATAAAGAAATTATAGACTCCTTCTTAGATTTGATAAGGTAAGCGAAACCTTAACTCTTGCTCACACACAGTCGGTCTACATACTCTCAAAAAAGTCGTTAAACCTTCACATGTAATTAGGCCTGTATGTAATGACGCGTGTAGGACGCTCCAAAGATCTAATAATAGTAGCCAAGTTACACAGAGTAACCTGTTGTACGTGTAGCAGTACTTGTAAGAACCAGATCGGGCACATGTCTTCTTAGTTGTCCACTACAGCCGGACAATGCAGTGCTGTAATGCCAACAAACGGTTGCATCAGCTGTGTCCTCGCTGAGGGTTAACTCCCCGGCACAGTCCTGTTGTCCCTTCTCGGGCGCTTTATAAAAAATGAAAAGATTTTATTTTGTGTTAGTGTTTTGTTTTTTTCCAGGACCACTAAACCCATACACTGACTTATTTGGTAATATTCCACGTCTTGTCCAGTGTGACGTTTACACGTGGAATCAGAAGACGTGCGTGAAACTTGTCCCTAATCGCAACTGTGGTTCAGACACTTCCTGCTGGGGGCTCACTTGTACTGCTGCTACACGTGTTTTATCTTTAGTCTGACTCGCTTTACGCTTACGCTCACAGGTTTTCTGTTCGCAACTTTTGTCAAAGTTTACTTTGAAACACATAACACGGAACATGGCGCAATGCCGTTTAAACTTGTTGAACTTGTTAAGTAAAAATGACTTCCGTCTGTAGGTGCCCATGCGCCCCCACCCGCCCGATATTTTTATTTTTTAAATCAATGCGTCATGTTCACAGGGCATTCATGAAGCATGTGTCACCTCTATGGTGTGGGAGAGGGGACACCCGGAAGCATCTATGACCATTGTACACAAACAACTGCGTCAGAAGGAAATGTTCCACGTCATCTAAATAACTATTACATGTTCCTATTGATGTTGGTCCACTGTGCACGCTTCCCCTGTACCTGCTGTGTTTTGGTCTAACACTAATTGGGGGGTGAGGGCTTTTCTTACATGTCAACAGCAATTCAGTGAAGCTTAGTTTTTCTATTTTTTGGAATTTTTTTTTTATTCTAAAGACATAACTACACAGCATGATGCAACAGCATAGTCTGAAATAAAGTACAGTGTCAGTGTTTCCCACCACAGAGGTTAAAAACGTGTTTAGAGTGTAAACAAGAAGACTTTGGGTTTACTGTTTGGATCTGTAATCTGAACCACGAATCACGTTAAGCTTATTTGGTTTGCCTCAAGTAGACGAGATGGAACACAGACAGTCTTAAAACACCTGTAAGAGTCTGTTTACATCCAGTCTTAGTAATGCTTGCAACTATTGCATCATTATTCCTGGTTAGTTTGACTGGTCTGTTCATGGTTTGCTCAGTCTGGCGCTCGGTGAATCACGGACTTGTGCGCTATGAAAACCAGAATATTCCACGCAAGCCTGGTCAGCCGGTGTCCTGGTTACCTTTGACAACAAAGGCAGCGTGGAACTTACTGGGTGGAACTGACTGAAGAGCTGTTCATTAAAGTGCAATAATGGCCTGGTCATTGTTTGCAGACGCACACTCATACGAAACAGAGCAGGGGAAAAAAAGACAACACACCACCCACACACCACTCCTACACATCCTTGTTGACATATCTTATCAGTTGCATTTTTTTTTTCCCTTTTGACCTACAAAACCTGTGGGTGATTCCGCGAAGCTAGAACATGTTTTTGTTTTTTCTTAGTAAACTTAGTTATATGAAGATCTTCTATCTTTGTCATCCTGTCCTTAGCTGTCAGGAGCTCAACAGGCCTTTGAGATGCTGGGATTCATTCCCATTCTTTAGAACCATAATCTATTTTTCAGCTTAAGTGTTTCATCCGTTTGTCCACCTTATTAAGTGCCCGAAGTTTCTGTTGTTGGGTTTGATACTAAACGTGTACCATTTTCCCAAAGCAGCTGAGGGATGGTGTAACAGGATGGTGTCAAGACGTCAGAAGATCTGAGCACAAACAATTGTTCATTTGACGTAGGAGACCCACCCGCCTAATAGGCATGTGATGGCCCATTGTTTTCATACCAACATTCCAGTTAAACAATAAAATCAAGTTTATTTACATTCAAGTCGCAAGTTCACCTCAGAGTGAACAGTTTCGAAGGAGCATGGCATCCACATGTAGACTTGAGTAGGATAAGGCGGAAAAAACGAAACATTGTGTTCTTTTTGTTTTAAATTTAATTAGCGCTGCGGTTTGTACCTGTGCCAAGAATAAGTAAACACAGCGGAGAACAAGGAAGTGGAAGTGTACGAGTGAGCCACGCTTGTACTCGGGATTGCCATCTCTGTGCAAATGTAGTGTACGTGTACCTATAGTCAGGAGTCCTGCCTCCCATTAATACTATACAAGGATGTGATGGCATGTGCATTCTAACAATGCTTGAAGTCTGGATTCTCTTTAGATTCTACACACAGATTATTATGCTGATCACTTTTGTGCTGATGAAACATTAAATACTTAAGCCTCTTTCCTCTCGTCATCTTACTACACTCAGACTATGCCAATCCATTTGAATATCCAAATGGTGTGAAAGCTTAGCAGTCGTTTAGTCCCCTTTCACGGCTGTTTGTGACGCAGCCGGTTTTCTAGTTCTGCCACGTCATGCAGTCACATGATCCTTAAGCTTGAAGCACTGCAGCGCCAATGGAAGGGACTGAATGACCGGAAAGCGGTTGAGGAGTTAATGCCTTATTACTCTAGATCTGTTGCAGACAGCTGAGCACAGGGGTAACGGGTGCACTTTGGGTTTTTCGTGTGTTCTTGGGAAATTTAATACACAGCTGTACCTACTCTGTGGAAGCCAGTGTGTATGCATGCACTCGTTAGCAGGTGATGGATAAGGTCACGGCAACACGGGGGGGAAAAAAAACCGAGATTAACAGTTAAATTCTCTGAGCTGTTTTTTTACATGGCGAGCCTTGGACTCCTCTCTGTTTGAGCTGTCACTGATCATTTGAAGAGATAGCATTTGTGCTTTCTATGTCACAGGATCAGTAGCAGTATTGCTCTATAGTTAGCTGAAACTCAGTAATGAGTCAAAGCAGGTCAGCCTGTAGTTTTTAAATTAAATTTCCAAGCAGCACATGTGACATTACTCAGTGTTACTATTCTGTGCTTTTTTTTAAAAAAATAAGTAAAATGTATTTTGAGAACAAACCCAAACAACCAAACCTGTTTTCTGCACTTTAGTTCCCAAACCTGTCATTTCTCTGCTCTCTATCACAGCTAGTAATCCACTTCACACTGAGCACAAGGATTTGAATGTGTTGTATTTTTTTATCCACAGAAACATCTTTCCCTCCAACCTTGTGTCTGCTGCTTTTCAGTCTGTAAGTATTGGATTTGAATTTTTTGGGTTGTTGTGGGTTTTTCTTTTTAACATAGTCATTCCACTGAATTGTGTAACAGAACTATGACGATAAGCTGATTATGTGCTAATTAGTCTACTAAACTAGCAATTTCTTGCCTCCTGTACAGTATACGACCTCCTATAAGCTGATGAAAAAGAATGGCACAAAAGGAATCGCCAATATCACGGTGGAGAATGTGAGCAGAGTGACTGGCTGGAAAATGAACTATAAATACACTCAAACTACCTGACTGTATTCTTAAACTGAGGGCTGAATAAATGTGTTTTCTTACTCAGTGTTTTGTTTTTAACGTGTGTGCTTTTCAGGTGCCTTTTGGAACAGACCAGGATGGCATGAATATTCTTGGTCTCGTAGTGTTTGCCATCGTGTTTGGGGTGGCTTTGCGGAAGCTGGGAGAGGAAGGAGAGATCCTGATCAAGTTCTTTAACGCCTTCAACGAGGCCACCATGGTGCTGGTGTCCTGGATCATGTGGTAAGGACACCTGGATGCTTTTTGGGTTGGGGAAGGAATAAAAGAACAGAAAATGTTCACGTGTGAAGAGCAAAATATTCAATTACAGCAAAGTGTTTTTTAAAGAGGACCACGCTGCTGTTTTAAACCTGCTATTTGAATGAATAGAAGCGTCTGCATCCTGCAACTACTGTGCATGTGCAGTTGCATAACATTATGGCTTTATTAAAGGCTTGATTCGCAGTGTCGACAAGATCCCCGTCTCTCCTAACATTAGAGCACTCAACAATATCTTTGCTAGTTATTTTTATGGATGCAGTACACCAAGACAAACTATTTAAAAAGTTTTGCTACATTTCTGGCTGGAGTTGTGTATTTAATGGACAGATACGCGAGGAATATTGTTGTTGTTTTTTTATCTTTAAGTGTGCTCTGTATCAGAAACTTAAACTACATCACTGTCTTGTCTCTTCCCTTGCAGGTATGCCCCAATCGGTATCATGTTCCTTGTAGCTGGGAAGATTGTGGAAATGGAAGATGTTGCAAGCCTGTTTGCCAGTTTGGGAAAATATATAGCCTGCTGCCTCATTGGACATGCTATCCATGGAGCACTTGTGTTGCCAGGCATCTACTTCATCATTACAAGGAAGAACCCTTACACCTTCCTCTGGGGGATATTCACGGCTCTAGCCACAGCCTTTGGAACAAGCTCCAGGTAATAAACGTGACTCTCAGGTTGTTAAATACTGAATGACTTAGATTTCTGTCTTCTAAAGCAACAGTGTATCTCTACATCCTTTCTGCACGCTCACGGCCATCGTTTCTTGCTTCTTAGCTCTGCCACGCTACCTCTCATGATGAAGTGCGTGGAGGAAAAGAACGGCGTATCCAAGCACATCAGCCGCTTCATCCTGCCCATTGGAGCGACGGTCAACATGGACGGTGCGGCTCTCTTTCAGTGCGTGGCCGCAGTTTTCATTGCACAGCTGAACCACGTTTCCCTTAACTTCATCCAAGTCATTACCATCCTGTAAGTCCCCAAAGCCACCAAAACACACCTTTAGTTAGACAGTGACATGTAATACTAAATCAATTGTACCACTGGCTTACTTATCAAACAGTTGCCTAATAATAGAGGTGATTTCAGTGGCTTTTATAATCATGACAATAGATTTGTGTCTAACTGCTACTGTCCATGCTTTTTGTACTTTAGTGTTACAGCTACAGCATCCAGCGTTGGAGCAGCGGGAATTCCTGCAGGCGGTGTTCTGACTTTAGCTATTATCCTGGAGGCAATAGGACTCCCCACCAGCGACATCTCTCTTATCCTGGCTGTTGACTGGCTTGTGTGAGTATACAAACTTTGGACGATGTTGACCGTGATGCCCTAGATTTACAATAATGTAGGGCACACAGCTGGCTGTAAATACCCTGACATTAAAATGGCGTGCCATCTGTTTTGTCTTCCTTCAGCGATCGTACCTGCACGGTGCTCAATGTGGAGGGTGACGCTTTCGGCGCGGGGATCTTGCAGTTCTTTGTGGACAGAGATGCCAAACGAAACGGAGCAGAGCTGAGCGAGGTCCGGCTGGAGGCCGCCCCCGAGAGCTCGCCGCTCATTAGTAAACGAAGCGATGCTCAGAAATCAGGGTCTGGTGAAAAAGAGTCAAGTATGTAATGTGACTGATGACATTTTCAAGGACTCCTGGCTCAGTTCTGATACTTGTTTGATATTGTGGGGGGAGAAAAAGAAAACTGAGCATCAAGCCCCTCATTTCCGTTGTCTGCTCTGAAGAAAAGAGTATAGAGAGAGACTAGACAATGTCTCTGACTTCAACACTTTTCTGGAGGGGTAGCTGAAAACACACATGGGGCGCATTTAGCGACCTTTTCAAGATTTTTTTTTTTAATTTTTCATTGTGGGTGAGATTGTATTGTACACTAGACTGGCTGCTTTAACTCCAGTCTGATGTTGCACTCGTGTGTGTGTGTGTGTGTGTGTGTGTGTGTGTGTGTGTTACTAGAGAGTAAAAAATCTGATTGGTGAGTAAGTTTGTCATGTGACCAGTGCATCCACCCACAAAAGCTGGACCAATGAACTTCAACACGTAATAGGCGGAGCTTAAGTTACATGAATGCACTGGTCTGTCACTAACGTTTTGCCCCATTTCATTTGTATTATTGAACCTGCGTCTTAGTAAATTACCGGCAAACACTCCACGGGACAACGGAGAAAGCCTCTGACTTTATAAGTAGAGGACCTCCATACTGTTCACTGCACCCACTGTGTAATTATTGGAAGTTGTCAACTTTAAACATGTTTTGGCTACTTTCATGCAGAATTCATCCAGTGATGTTTTAAACTGCAAGTACTTCGTATTTGAGTTTAAGTGCATTCTTTATACTCTGCATGGAAGTAGCAGGGTTTTTTTTTTTTATTTTTATATATATATATATATATATATATATATATATATATATATATATATATACCTGCAATATGTAATAAAATGGGCGCATGTGGAGAAAAATGCTGCGATCACCAACACATCCTCAGGTTTTGACTTTGGCTACAAGACTTTCCTCTGCGTGCGCCTTAAAATACTCCAGGACCAAAAGTTAAATACTCTGCAACAGAATTCTAGTCACACTCTTTGGTCTGCTTTGCTCTTGTGCAGGTACAAGTGGTTTAACACACACTATGCAACAGTGACTGTTTGATGTTATATGTCATATATGAGCAACTAACTTCCTTACACTACAAGGATGTCTCTATTTTATGAGAATGAGAGGTGTACACACCTAAATAACTTTGGTAAAGGGAGAATCTCATAATCTGTCTTGGCTATCATGGGTGTAAATGTGGAGTAATAGCTGGGTGGCCTCCACCCAACCAAGAATTTCTGGTAGGCATTTGTAAATTTATTTCTTTAAGCTCCAAAGACATTTGTAGTATTTAATTTTGTAAATGCTAGTAATTCCAAACTTTATTTTTCCAGATTCAACTTTTGGCAAGTTGTTGGATTTGGATATTTTTATTTATCAGTCTCTTCTATTTGGTGTGAGCTACAGTTTTAAATATATTTTATGAGCTGCTTCTTTAAAAAAAAAGTTTATATCAGTGGGGTAGACTTTAAGGCTCTGGAGAGAAGTTGTTAGATCATCGATACTAAAGAGATACTGTCTGGGGTTGGGGTATGGTGATGTATCCAAGAGAGCAATGCAAGTCCGGCTGGCCGGGAACTGAACCTCTTCCCTAATAAACGCTTGGCTATTGAAGTACCCAGACACTTTTTAAATGGATGAAAGTAATATAGCACAATAGTATATCTTTTGCATCCATATCAATTGTTAATTAACATCTTATATAGACATGAGTTGGGCAAATACTGTTAAATCCAAAACCAGATATTTTTTAAGCCTGCTTTCTTAGCCTTCTCATTACATTAGCTTTACAGAATTTCACATGACAATCATTTAACTGCAACCTTGAGGTCTTAGCATTTCTTATGTCATAAGAAAATTCTTTATTTTTTTTTCTGTTCCTTTTGTGGTGCAAGATTACTTCCTGAACTCTTCCATTATGTGGCTTGATCATGGTTTTGTTTGTTTAAAGTGGACTATGGTTGTAAAATAACTTATTGTCTGAATGTACTGTCAGCAACCTTTCAGCAATAAATGTTTTTTTTATACATATAAATAAGAGGATGTGGCTTTTTGTGGACAAACCCTGTTTTTAACTCTTACTGCAGAGACTAATCAGAAGCACACAGTAATACAAATCAGAAAAGACACAAAATACTTTCTTTATGTTTAGAGACTGTAAAGCAATGCAGCCTCCCACTGATACATAAGCCTGGGCACATTAACCAGGCCATATATGAATACTAGAAGCAAAAAAACAATATAAACACACCTCTAGGGACACAATATGTAGAGCAACAACATGGGAGAGGCTTGATTGTAATGCTAGTTTGCATGACACGTTGGGTTTGTGATGAACACGTGAGCCGTGTTCCTGTAGAGTTGTATTCCTGCCTACACTCCACCCCTTTGGTCGTCACAACAACAGCACTTGGCGTTAATTAGTTGTGTTGCGCCATCTAGTGGTAACAGCTATTTACAAAATACATGAAACTTATTCTTTTATTGTAGAAGTACATGAAATCATTTGACACCCTAGTACATTAGATACAGGAAAAACTACAGGAATCATGTGGCAACCAGGGGAACTGAGTAGAATACTGAATTTCCTTTTCATAATATTTATAAATATGTAATTATTTACTTGAATTCTAAGGCATGGTAGAGCAATCGTCCATAACAGCATGAACAACACAGGTGTGCTTCTCATTTCATTAGATGGAAGTCTGCTCAGCTGCAGTTACCAGCTGGCTCTACCACAAACTAACATTCACTCATAAACTGAGACGTGCAAAACAAGGCAACAGAGTTCAAAAATCATAAAATACCTGTTAGGCTAAAGCCACTTATTTAACACACATACGTCTGTATAATACCTTAAATCCTGCTTAAGATAAAATACATTTTAGTTTTTAAAAAATCTTTTTTTTTTTCAATTATCTACCTTTTTTTTAAAAAATTTTTTTATTACAGCAGTAGTAGTTCAATGTTTCTGTACAACACATACACACCACAGCCTTATGTCAGTACACTAGTGTATGGATTTAAACTTTTCAAGTGTGCCTTTCAAACAAAACGCTACCGCTCAGGCAAATAAATAACGTGTGTTCAACATTAGACTTTACATCCGAACCACAGGAAGAACAATCTAAGCATGCAATACACAGTCTTCTGATACACATGTGGTGAAGGTAACAGTAAATGCAGTCGTTTTGGCACCATATTAAATCTCTTTTTCACACATGACCTCCAGAAAATGTTGAGATGATTAGATGTGGATGTCACACAGACAAGAGGTACTCGACCATTTACGGTCAGATAAGAATGTCGGACATTTGTGCTCTCACGTGAATCTCAGTTTGGTAATGTCTCAAAGCATTCAGGGCTGCAGTGCACGTGTGTAAAAGGCTTTACTTTCCATTATCTTTCACAGACAATTATTTGAGGCAAGATTTTCTTTGTATGTATGTAAACCTAAATGGGTCTGTAGCCCTCCGGTATGACTCATAATTTGCTTCTGTCCAGTCTCTTTTTTGCAGGGTTGGGATACTGGGGGTTCTCAATCGCCCCCTCTCCAAATTTAAGTTCCAAAAAGGCTCTGTGGTTGTTAGGGCCATAGGCAGTGATGCCAGCAAAAGGCATGGGTACCAGTGGCTGCAGGAAGTGTTCTGGGAACTCGACATCTTGTTTATGTTCAGTCCACGTATCTTTGGTCATGACGCCATTACGTGGATAGAACGGCCACAGGTCAACGTGCAGGTGGTTAGCCTCACTGTACTGGACCCTGTAAAAGTCTCCTTCCACCGCACGCTCCCACACATAGCCATTAGCATCCACCAGAGAGCCCGAGTCCAGGTTCTTTAAATGATCGCAGTTGGGTACATCCTCCAGATAGATACCAAGGTCTACATCATAGTCCCATGGGATGATATCTTGATGGCGTACGGCGCCCAACAGAGTACCTCCCTCTAGCCAGTAGCGCACACCTGAGCGCTCCAAGATATTGACGACATACTTGGTGGTTTCCCTGAGTGCTCGCAGACAGCAGGGAGGTGTCCAGCGGTCCAGATAAAGATAGTCTGGAGTGTCATCCTGCACAGTGCCAAAGCAGCGTGGTGTCTCTTTGCTGCAGCCGTACCACTGTTCCCTCCCATCAGGCAGCAGAAGACGCTTCAGACCGAAGCTCCTCATTAGCTTCCCCGTGGCCTCCTTTAGTCGAGTGTCAGCCTTCCACTGGTTGTGAGCAGAGCTGAAGAGAGGCCGATGGTTTGCAGAGAAACAGGGGCCTTCCAGGAGTTTGACCTTCCAGCCTCTCAAAGAAGTCTGGATGAAGAGTGAAGAGAAGAGAGGCCGTCCAAGAGGGACAGAGAGGTTAAAAAGATCCTCAGTCCGAATGAGTACGACTGCATCTCCCTGTAAAGCTGTACATACACTCCCACTGCTCCCTGATGCAGCTGTTGAATAGATAGCTGTCCACTCTCTGAGGTTCACCCGCAAGTGGAGACACTGCACAGCAGATCGAGCCAATACGGGTGCAGCTACTAACCTCACAGGCCCTCCACCCTCTCCTTCCAACTCTCTAATTAACCTCTCAATAGCCCTTGGTTGCTCCAGCTCCACTCCATCAGGCACTAGCAGCACAAACTCTGTTTGCACATGAAACTCAGGCCTGTGAGCTTGTGGTGGTTGGTCTGGGCTGGGGGAGAGGATAAGAAGCCGAGCACCCTCCGGAAGCACCAGTGGAGGGTACGGTGATGTGTCAGCTACAGCCAGGAATGGAAGCTCTGGCCTCTGGTGAAGGAAGGAATTAGCCACATCCCCAACATAGTTTTCAAAATGTTCAAATTCCCGAAGTAGAACAGTTACACGTGGGCCTCGACTGTGTCCCTCCACTCCAACCACTCCAGGCTCACCTCCAGCTCCTGCAAGTAACCCTCCGAGACCAGAGGCTGGTAGGGCAGCCCTTCTTGTGCCCCTGCCAAGTTCTTTCCTCTTCTCCATCATTTGCTGCTGGGCTCGGGACACATAATAGAGAATGAGGAGGTTGAGGATGATGGCAATAGTTAACAAGCCCTGACAGAAACTGATCCGCATGGCAACTAATATTTCCTTTGCAGTTTATTTCAGGAGAATAACTTAAGTTTGAATCAAGAAATCCAGTGGCTGGTCTCGGACCCCCATCAGTGTAACAGAGAGTCGCATACAACCTGTAAATGACAGAAAAATGTTGTGCTTTGGTTCCAATACCACAGGCTTACGTATAAGTATAATGTATTGATCTGCATATGAACATCACAATTTGCACACAGGATATTTAATTTAAACAAAGTAGTCAGTGAATGACCCAAGCCATAATCACATTCTTGTGGAACTAGGACATGATTGTTCCATGACAGGTTCTAGTTGCATTAGAAATTAATGAAAATAGGATAGTAGCAACTCACCTTCATCTGAATGTATCGGTTTTATTTCATATAAGACAATCGTTTGTAGGGCCATAATATCATTCAGAAGTTAAAAGAGGCTTTACCAACGTTAAGCCAATTATGCCCGTTATGCTCGCTATATGTGGATTTCATGATGATCTTTTTGAGCTGGTAGCGTAGTAGCTACCGAGGTTGAATCGGCAGCAGCAAACACAGATAATAACTTGAGTTTAGCTCATATTTGTACGGCTGTGGAAGAAATAGTCTCCAATATTTTTTGGAAGAAACTCACACCTAATGATCAAAAGAATATATCAAAAGCGCAAGGCTTAACACAATCCCAAACAAGAAACCCAGCTGCACGACTTTAGCATTAAGCTATCACATTGTTGCCCGCAGCAACAGGACAACTTCCGGTTGAAATCCTTCAGAATAAAGCTATTGTAGGGGGTGTCCAAATCTGGACCAATCTATGAATCTATTTAATGAAAGGCACATATTTTACGCAATAACCGCTTCAGAGTTATCCCAGTTACCTGGCGTCTATACCTAATCTCTTACGTTTTAAAAGAATAGAAAAGCATATTGCTATAATATAAAATATGAGATATAACTGCAAATGTTATTGCAGAGGTTATAAGGATATAAGCAATACAAAAAATATAAATATAAATATAAAGATGATATGGGGAAAAACTATAATTCACGTTAACATGTTATATACAAATGTGTCCCAAAGGCTTTTGTATTGCTGTTCTTGGCTATGGCTGTCTTCGTTTCACAATTTATTTTCCAAAAATCAAAATCAAAGATAAAATCTCGACCGGAAATAGCATTGTTGATCACTGCAGCTAACTTTTTCGTTCCCGAAACCATTCCTGCTCACAAAATGGCAGGAAATTCATTCCCCTAGCGACATGTTTATTGTCTATTATAGAAAACATGGCCCTTTATTTGTCACCCGCACTGGGCATTTCACGAGGAGGAAACTGATCTGGGATCCGGGATATACAAAATAAGAGCAGCAAAAAAAAAAAAAAAGGTTAACGTTTATTTTCAGGTGCATTACATTTAATAAACGCTGCCTGGTGTTACTTTATTTTGATGTTAGTTTTAAGACTGCACGTAAGCCGTTTTGTGAAAAGGGATTTGTTACGAAATCAATGGGGCCACGATGTTACACTGCGGTTAGATTGTGTTTTGCGCTGAAGGTTTGGAAGCGGAAGTGTATTATTTTACCAACAGAATAGTAATTTTTCTCTGTGCGTGTGAGAAAGGAAGAAAGGAGGGTAGCTTATAGTGAAGTGGAGCTGGGTTTGGAAAAGGGCACGGGGTACTTTTTTTTATATTTATATTCGTCCATTCTGCCCGTTCCCATCTCATTATCCTGGCGAAAGGTTGAACAGTTAAAATGGAGGCGGACAGAACCGGCGGAGGATCTAACCCGAACTCCGGAGGCGGCGACGGCAGCAGTGGAACGGGGCGCAACCCAAACGGGCCTAAAGCAGGACCGGGCCAGGCGACATCAGCTGGTGGGACCGGGGCAATGGCAGCGGCCGCAGCAGCAGCCGCCGGGGCCGTCCCCGGACCGTTGCAGCAGTCACGGGAGCCGCAGGACGGGGAGTCGGGG